CAGAGATACATGTTCGCGACTGCCAGTTCCAAATGCGAATAGTCTGGTCATCACTGGCACTCACAATCCAAGGGCTTTCGTGGTGGAACTGCACCGTACGAATATAATCAAGGTGTCCCAGTAGAGTAAATAGACACCTGTGGAGTTTATAGTTCCAAACTTTAATCTTGTAATCATCACCTGACAAAACAAAGGAAGTTGTATATACATCACTTATGAGACGCATATTACAGAATATGTCAACTTTTACCAAAATCATCTACAAAGTATAACATAACTGCACCTAATACACAATCACTGCACTCATGAAACAAATAACCAAGGTCTAAGATGTTCAACAAGAAGTTAAATGCACTGAGAATCCAACACATCAAGAAAACATGGGACAACTAATATATCTTGCATCTTTAATCCTATAATTATATTATAAACCACACACCTATAATATCTATACGGTGTCATATGCATTTTGCCCCACATCCATAGAGATTATATAGTATTGTATAAGAATACAGCTAACTTGGGGATACTTTCTTCAGTGCATCCAGAAACTCATATAAACAACCTTGAATCATTTTTCATCTATGAGTTTCTATACCAACATCCCAGCTGGCCTACAAATTATTATAGAACATCAATCTTAGCCCACAAATTACAAGTTCCATCCAATATTATAAATTTAGGAGTCGTAATCTGCTTGTTAGCCTGGAGACAATGGGCAATGGATCAGGCATTGGTTTAATTTGGCTGCACTCTAGCTCATTAGCCTTGACACATTCACTAATGTGTGATGAGATCAGGTGAGACTGAGAAATTCCATCCATATATAAGTTGCACAGAATTAATAGGTAATTAAGGTAAATACCTCAAAGGTCACTACTAATCCTTCAAGACCATAAGGTGGTAAGGGATGTTAGAGAGGGTATAAAGGCAAATTCTCACAGCTTACTATCCTGAAGGAAGGAGACTATTTTTGCCTCACATAAAGAGATGAACATTATTTATGAACAGGGTATGCATGTTATAATCTATGGCATGAAGGTTAAACTATTATTCGATGCTACAATTGACAACCAAAAAACGCAATGAACACAATATTAATATAATTTTTTACCTCCTGACACAAACAGTGGCTGAGATTTATGGAAGTGAACACCACGAACAGGGCCATCATGCTCATCAAATCGGTCAATCAGTGTACCCATTCTGTAATCCCATAGCTGGATCACACCACTGTGAAGACTCGCCAAGATCCATGGCCTCTTAGTGTGGAAACTAAGTCCCTTAACCCTGTTACTCTTTGTCTCGAACTTTGTCAACATCACTCAAATCTTTCTCGCTGCAAACAATCATAACCCAATCAGAACAGATACTGCACAACTAAGCTCTAAGCATCCTTATTATGTTTTTACCAATCAAAACAATGTAATTTCAACAAAATGACCACTCAATTAATCATTTACATTCGTCGAAACATCAACATATCTCAGTATCCCTAATTCAGTACCAAATTTATAAAATAATTTACTACTTCAAGCTCAATCACATACAAATGTACAGATAATCAAATCACACACTCAACAGTCATCCCAAACAACACTCACATCAAGTCCACTAAATTCTCCCCCAATTTCTGAAACCACTACTAATTAAAACAATCTAAGCTCATTATTTCAGCATAAAAGCTAATTAAATAAAAAAATCTGATCGAATTCAGAAAATACCTAATTACACATAATGCTCAAACTAAATCAAACCGAAATCAATTAAAAACTTACCAAATCAATTACAACCCTAACTAAATAAAAATCAAACCGTAAAACAAACTAATTAAAAGCAGATCGAATGCCAATAATAAATCGAATTCAAAAAAAATAAAAAGATCGGTGAAAATAAAATTGAAATTGAAACTAAAATTACCTTCAGATCTGAAAAGTGAAATAGTAGTGGTAGATCAAGTGAAGCGCAGAATTTGCATCCAAAATCGACAGATGAACAAGAGAGAGAAATTAAAAATTGAGAGGATTTTAGGAGAGAGAAAATGAGGGAGTGGAGAGAAGAAGGGTTTTTTGTACTGTATTTATTTTTTTCCCCTTTATTATATGATAGTATCGTAGATCTGGATTCACTGCTGCGTTTAATTAGAAAGTAAGGAAGAGTGTAATTTCTTAATCATATTCATAGCCTCATACGAGGGAGGTGTAATTCGTGGTTTCATTTTTTTTTAACTTGACACAGTAATTCGTGGTTTCATTGGGATGACTGATGTCACTAATTAAATTTTATTTGAGTACTCCCTCGAAAGCGACTTATTTGGGTTGATTACGCGGGTATTAAGAAAGTTGTATATTGGAAAGAAAAATTTACATGGAGTTTGTAAAAAAATAGAGAGAGAAAATAATAAATAACATGGAAAATTAAATTTTTATATGGGGAAGCTACTTTTGCACAAATATTATTACAAATTGGTGGGTGTTAATGCAAATGGGTCATTTTTTTTGGAACTAAAATTAGGTCAAATGGGTCGTTCTTTCAGAGACGGAGGTAATATTATATATACGAGGGAGCCCCAGTTAATCCCTGAGATTAACATTCCAAGTTAATCTCATGGTAAAGGCTACACATACAATTGTTGTATGTGGTCCCCACATACAACTTTACTTTGTCATGTTTTTATTGGCTGCAATAATGGACCCATGTTCCATTAGTATTCAATTTATATTTGACTCCTAATTTTCTCCCTTTTTTAATGATGTGTCAAATTTCTAGTGATGTTGTATGTAGGGACAACATACAATGATTGTATGTGCATCCAAAAAAGGCAGGAAAATTTTTAACCAGGAAATGACAAGTGTCATTCCTAGTTTCGCCTTTAGTATAAGTTATTGATGATTGATGTTAGTATTTTTGTAATTAAAAGTTTCCAAGTATATATAGAATATATGTAAAAAATTTAATTGAGTAATATTGGATTAAATATGTTGTCAAAATAGAAATGACTATTATTATAGGTTATAAAAATGTATAGATGTCATTAAAATATGGCAAAAAAATTAAAAAGGAAGGGAAAAAAAAGGCGGGAAAATTTTTAACCAGGAAATGACAAGTGTCATTCCTAGTTTCGCCTTTAGGGCCTGTTCATATTTACTTAATTTTAGTTCAGTTCAGTTCAGCTCCAATCAGTTCAGTTCAGCTTCAATCAGTTCAGTTCAGTTCAGCTCCAATCAGTTCAGTTCAGCTTCAATCAGTTCAGTTCAGTTCAGTTCAGCTCCTAATTTTCCTCTCTCATAAAATATTCATTTCAGCTCAGTTCAGTTCAGTTCAGCTTCAATCAGTTCAGTTCAGCTCCTAATTTTCCTCTCTCATAAAATATTCATTTCAGCTCAATTCAGTTCAGTTCAATTCAGTTCAGCTCCAATCAGTTCAGTTCAGTTCCAATTAGTTCAGTTCAGCTCAGTTCAGTAAATGTGAACATGCTCTTAGTATAAGTTATGATTGATTGATTCGCCTTTAGTATAAGTTATTGATTGATTGATAAGTTATTGATTATTGATGATTGATTGATACGATCAATATGAGTATGCAACAAGTTAATAACAACACATTTTGTGTATGTTTTTTTTTTTTTGATAGGTCATTTTGTGTATGGTTGGTTATATCATGTGACCACTTATAATTTTTTTTTAAAAAAAGGTAATCTTTATACTATTGGACGAGTAATCCCTACAACACGTGGACAATGAGCAAAACATCCACGACACGAGATTTCTTAACGGTTGCAAGTTAGCTTTGTCAATTTTTAAAAAATCGAATAGTGTATTTACATGTGATAGTATTACATGCTCTTTTAATACTAGTATTAGAAAAAAAAAAGAAAAAAAAAATCAAAACATAGACTATATTTCCTAATGTCATCTAATACCAAAATGTCCAAATGTATAGGAGAAACCTATGTATTCTTTGTGTATTGCTGCTTGAACAACATTTACAATATCACTTTCAAAGTTTCAACCATTATACGTGTAGTTTCAAACATTTGAGAATGATGGATAGCTCAAGTGGTTAGAATTTCCTTCCCGATTTCAAAAAATCATGTGATCAATACTCACCCCCGCCCCTGTGGTTCTAAAAAAAATAATTAATACGGAGTATTAATTAGAGTTGGACCATTCAAAAAATAAATAAATACTGAGTAATATTTTGGGGATAATATTAAGAGTTGGACCATTCATGGGTGCATTGGGTAATTGTACATTTGTACGTAAATTTTAATCACTATAAATCGTTGTCATCACTCATTCACTCATCATCCTTGAATATAAAGCAAGATAGACTTAACATTGGAAGAAACAAAGTCAATATTTGGCTTTTTACCACTTGCGGATTAAATGATTAGATAGGGAAAAATTGCTTTAGAGAAGATATTTTCCAAAGTTCAAATTATTTTGGTTGAATTTATTTCCTGTTCTCCCTTTTTGAGAAATATTTCCTGATCAATAAAAGGAGAATGATTAAAATCAAAATAGTTGGTTTCTGTAATTTGTTTTTAAACTAAGAATAGATGAAATATTATAAAACATTTACCGCTAAATCATGCCTAAGGCTTCTCTAAAAATCTCAAGATTATGTGGTCAAGATTTATCTAGTTTGTACGAAAGTACAAATACATTTACCATCCAAAAATTTCATTGTCATGCTTAAATCGTTTAAATGAATCGATATTGCATGCAATCAATAATGTTCCTTGGTACCAAATGTTGTGCATATACTTTGTATTTAACTCCCTTTGAGCCTTTTAGGTGCTTCATATATAACACCACATACTCCGTACTAGTTTCGGACTTACTGGGAAGTGGGAAGGTATGTAGAAGCCTGCCATATGACATGAAACATGATCTTTACCCAAGCCTGAACATCTACGTTATCTCAAGATTTGGACCTTTTCGTCTAATCTAAGAAGCAAATTTTGATATTTTGGGTACATGTAACGTATTCAAGCATTTTCATGTCAAGCAGGAGTGACTCCGAGGGGAATAACATGAAAATCTAATCGAAGAACTTCCAAAGAAAGCAACAACAACCAAAAATGGGGAATCTAGTATCTATGAACAGGAAGGGGAAGTTTTGCAGCAAACTTTATGTTGAGTTGTTCCTGAATTTTCAACAGAGTCAAGGTGGTTTCATCAAAAGATGATTTCTGTAGCAAGGAGAACTGTATTGGAGAAAGGCTGAATTCGTAAGCGTGGCTTGAAAATTCTTCATTTTCTTTAATGTCCTGTAATAAGCCGGTAACTACCTTAACTGTCTCAACTCTCAAATGATCTTCGAGACCTCATTGTTGGTTTCCTTGTAAGGCCTGAATAACTTCCTCAGCTCTTGACTGTATGCCTTTAAGGTACTCGGTAAGAATACGCTGCTGGTAAGATCCTCCTTCCTGAACATAGGAAAAATGACTGATACATCTAATAGTACTGGTTACAAGCTTACAACGAGGAACTAATGTGGATATATGACACAGCCAAAAGGGGAAAAGGAGATAGTGGTTTTTACTTACTGTTCGAATCAAAACTCGTTCTCTTCGTTTATTAAGCACAGCATAAAATTCCTCTGGAGAAATATGTCCTTTTGCAATTGTTAAACCATTAAGCAGCAGCATGTTCCATTCACTTTCAGGAGCTGCACAAGTTCAAAAGTGTTTACGAATTGCTGAAAGGCAAGTACAAGCAGTAAAGAACTATAATACACATAACACTTCCCAATATCCCATGCAAGCTGGCTTTAGCTAAATGCACAGGTCAAGCTAAAGATGAACTTCATATCAAGCAATGTGGTTCACCACACAATATCTAGATGAAATCTGACGGGCTGAAGAAAGTAATTTCAAGAAACAGGATTGCGAGCAGTAAAAGTGAACTTAAGATGGGAGATTATGCACTCAGTAATCAGAAATTTTTTCATGTCTTCCAAGAAAGGTTAATGGAAGAAAGGGACATAAGATGTTGCAGATTTCCTCCGCGTGGAAATGAAGATAATTCAATGCTAAGAGAGGAAAGTTGAGCAAAAATTAACCAGGAACCAACATTGATAAAAGATGAGTTACCTTTAATAATAGTCTCAAGGAATTGCTCCGTCTTCAGGATTTCATTACCTGTACAGAAACACATAAAGACTCCAATTACTCATTATTGTAACAAATAAGCATGAATTTTCGTTTACTGCCTCCTTCAGCGCCCCTAACACAGGAATACAGGATCAATCTACAAAGTACTGGGATGCTGAATATAATATTAAAGTAACACTCAAAGAGATAATTAAGCAATCCTTTGAAGCTAAGGTTAATTTTAACTTCATAAGCAACTATTCGCACAAGAATAGATTTTCCAAATCTAAGCTACTGAAACAAGAAATTTGTTAGTAACACTAAGTTCTGAGTAAACTAAAACTTTCACTGGAGATAGGGTCCATATAAGAGTCTGACATTCCTTTGATATATATGTATGTAAAACAAATTAATTGACACCTAGTATCTGGATTCTGGAAGTACAAAAGTTTGGTTCTGCCAAATAGCTAATAACAACAGATCAGAAATATGGGTGGGGGTACATACCTTTTTTAGCATAACTACGTTTTGAAAGAATTCTGGAGGCATAAAGCTGTAAAACTTTTTGCAGCATAGCCACAAGTCCTGGCTTGTCCCCGTCTTCTTTTGCCTGCAAGAAAAGATGAAAGACTACGGACTACAGCTTCCTCCATGATATTGGCAGTAATGTATAAACATCTGACTGTTTGAAAGTTTGAGACCTCAAACCACAGAGGACTAAATGGTTCTCTTATCCATGTATGAATATTTCAGTTTGTCACTTTTTGATACATCTTATTGAGTTTAAAAGGTCACACCACTTCGGCACTTCATGTGATAAGCTGGCCTCAATGACCATGATGAAGAGAAACAGAAGACATGTATACAAGTCTTTTCAATGAATAATACGGAGTATCAGATATGGTTGGTTAAGATTGAATTGGCCAGTTCTTTACCACAATATACAAGAAAATCTAAATATATCACATAATGAAAGGAATACTCACTTGCCGCAGTTGTGCATTGACTTCTGAAAGGAATCCTTCATCAAGATATCCTTCTTGTTCTCTTTGATTTAACTCCTGGTGAACACATATAAAGGGCACAATGAAATTTTTTTTAAAAAATAAAATTAAAAACGTCAAGAAACAAGAAATTTTCAATTTACTTATAATCTCAAAAGCTAGATGAACCTGTTGAACACTATACTGTAGACACTACACTTAATATGATAAAAGCAACTAAGTTTCGAAATACATGCAATGGACACAATATATAAATAAGCAGTGTGTCAAAATAACAAAAAATAATCAGTGTACAAGAAGATGGACGTGCCTGTTCCATCAGACTGAGAGCTTCGGGGTCTCTTGGTGGCCAAGTAAGCTCTTGATCTTCATCCACCACATGTTTGAGAATCGATTTTAAAACATCAGTAGCTGACTCAATTTTTTCCTTCAAAAGAGAACAAAGAACATAAGATCAAGCAATGGACAATGTGACTGGATTGAATGGAAGGGTATCCCAATTAAAACAAGAAAGTACATTGGTTTTGTGAACAAGACGGTCTACTGTACTCATTAACGTTGCTGCCAATTCTTCATAATCTTTCTGCATGCAAACAAAGCCAGGTCATTTTTTATGAAAATAAGAATGCACAACTTAGTATTCCACAGAAAAATAATGACAATAGTGAAGAAACCATGCTTTATCATCCTCTGATTTGCAGGTATCAGTTCTGGCAGCTAGCCGAATCCAGAAACCCTCATTGAAAGCCAGAACATTTTCAGCCACGAGCTGTGGTAGCTGTTACAAATAGAACCAATATCAGCTAACGAGAAACTGTCAACGGAAACACAAGTCCTGAACTGGTCGGATTTAAACAATCACTTAAGGCAAATTGGCTAATACAACTTTTTGTTCAAACAATGATTTCTGAAGTACACTTGCACCAAAGAAGTGAAAGAACCTCTATCAACAATCACAAAAGCTTACATACATGTACCTCCCTACTCCCTAGTACCTGGCAATGATACTACTCCTACTCGATTATAAATGTTACAAAAATCATGACTTCTCCGTGCATTGCCAGATAATCAAACCACAACATGGTCAGCTAATTTATCAGCATCCCCATTCCTATGAGTGGCTATGAAGCCCACCGCCCACGAGCATAGGATTTTGGCTACGACACGAATTTGCAGCATTAAAGAGGACTCCAGGACTAATATATCATGCAAAAATGTGTTTCTTCAACATAGCTGAACTATAAAACAAAGCAACCTAACACTAAGAAGCTTGTAATCCACAAAAGGGCAAACAAATTATGCATAAGAAATTCTCACCTCTTTCGGATTAGCTTCCCTTAACGTATCGATCAGCCTATCGACTTCAACAGTCTTCTTGAAAGCTTCCTCAGCACCACCTTGACTGACTGCACAGACCAAATTTCTCCTGTTTTAAATATACCCAAAACAAGGCCTTTTACCATGAAAATGATCACCCATTTAACAATTATAATGCTGAATGTCTCAACATACAGAATATTGCATCTAGAAAATAAACTAATTACAAACCCCCAAAACATTTGATTTTTTTTAGTGATTCTATTAATTGAACACAAATAATTAGTAATAATCATAAACATTCATTTTCAACAACATTTATACAAAATTGTAATGAATTTTGAATCCAAGGAGGAAATTCTACATTAATTTTAACGAAATCCACCCAATTACATAATTATATAAATAAATTGAATTGAACTATAAAAAAATTAAAAATTAATAAGGAAGTACCTTTGGTTGAACAATGGAGAAGGGAGTTGCTTAATCATTTTACAAAACCTGATTGTTCCCTGCTTCCATGATTGACTCAAAGCATACTGTAATTCCCACAATTTTCCGCCATAAAAAAAAAGATAATCAAGCAAGAATTTAGCTACAGTAAGTAAAGAATTACAGAACATTCATAAATGAGATAGAGAGACCTGGGAATGAGAAGAGTAATGCGAAGAATAGATGGTTGAAGAACAGGAGGGCGAGGTGGTCACTGCAATGGATGAAGCCATGAAATGAGAGAGAACAAACACAGGAGAAAATGACCAGAAATTTTTGGGTGGTGTAGAGTTTGTATTATGAGGTACAAGTATATGGAACTTGGTTACTTGGGGTGTATTTTCGGGTAAGAAGAAGGATCTTACGCAGCACTATAGTAGTACTTCCTCCGTTTTTAAATACTTGCTCTATAAAGGTACGTTATTACTCTAAAACACCCTAATAATAATGAAAACTTGTGTAGGAAAACAAATAAATTATGGGGGATACGCATTTCCAAGGAAGTGAATAATTAATTTTTATCCATTATGGATAACCTATCATGTTGGGCACGAACTTTGTTGTGTAAGTGCTCCAACAAGTTATGCCAAGAAAAGTTGTGTAGATATTTCATAAACAAGTTTAATAGTTTATATGCCGAGTCATGTCAAGTCAACAATCTTCCTTCCCCCTTGATGTCTATGCACAACTCATGTCATGTCAACAAACTCCCTTCCCCTTGATGTCTATGCACAACTCATGACCTACCATCGTGTCTCTCATATTGTGCTAAAATCATAGCAATCTTATGTCAAGTTACGCCAAATTGCCAATTATTTAGAATAAGCAATTCAACCCCATTTATGCCCTAATCTATCATAGAAATCAATTGGTGATTTATGACAAACAATTGAAAATGGAAAGAGTAAAATAAAAACATTCCACCATGGATAAATAAGTTTCTTTAGCTAAGAGATGGAGGGAAACTCACTATAAAAAATAAAAAAATACCCGAAAAAAACAGACGAAATGGCGGTAATAATATCTAGCAACTTCTACACCATTACCAATCATCCAAACCTCCATAACCATATCCAAAGAAGCTTCCAAACTACCACCAAAAACTCCAATCTCTCTCCTCTTCATCATCATCATCATCATCTTCGTCGTTGCAGATTACGCGCATCATCAAACCCTAGCGATTACGAAGCAGAAGAACAACGATGGCTTCGAGAAGAACATAGATGGTTAAGAGAAGAACAACGATGGCTTCGCGAAGAAGCTCGCTGGAATTCCGAACGACAATCTTTGTTACGCCAGATTTCCGAATTATCGCTTCAAATTCAACATTTGCAGTCGGAATTGGATGATTTTCGTAGTAATCGATCGAATTCTGCTGATTTTGAGGTTACTACTCCGACAAAAATGGCGGCTCTTTTGGAAGCTAAGAATTCTAATCAGATTCTTGATTTTTCTGGTAGTGAGTTGAATTCTGAGGTGGAATCTGTGAATTTGGATTCTGGTTCTGATATTTCGACTGTGAATTCGCCGGAAAGTGAGATGAAGGAGGAGACGAAGCCATTAGAGAAGGCGAAATCGAGTTCGATTTCGAGTTGGAGTACTAGTTTGAGAATTGGATGCGAAGGTGAAGAAGTTCGTGCTATGCAGGTTTGATTGATTTCTCTTTCTAAAACCTAATTTTGATTTTAATTTCTTCATTTTTATTTTGAAGTATGATTTGTTAGTTGTTAATTTTATTATTATAAAATTAATTTATGGAATTGTATGAATATGGCAGGATGCATTGATGAAATTAGGGTTTTATTCTGGAGAGGAGGACATGGAGTTTAGTTATTTCTCTACTGATACTGAGAGAGCTGTTAAAACTTGGCAAGTATGTTGTTTTTTTTGTGTACATTTTAAACTTTTTTTGCTCGAAATCGTAAATTTCCATTATAATCGAGAAAGATTTGATGACCTAGTGCTCTTATATTTGGATAACAGCATTGTTTGATTATGCTAAATTTTACATTGGTTGTGATGAACATAATTTACAGGCTTCAATTGGCATTCGCGAGGATGGGATTATGACTATTGAGCTGCTTGATCAATTGTATGCGCCTCAACAGATTTCGAGTCCTAAAACACAAGTCAAGGCTGATATCCCAAAAGTGAGTGCTATGGATGAAACAGGAATGGTTTGTTTTCTAATATGTGCTGTAGCTGTGAGCTGTTTCTTCTTTCGTGCTGTATTTTTGAGGGATCAAGCATCAATGTGTAATCGTGTTACATTATTGGGAGATTGATTCTTTGTCTATGTATACAAAGAAAATAAAGCACAGTACCAGCTTAGTAGTGTTATAGGGAATATACATTGTGTTTGGTGTTTGAGTGCAGTGTTGAGTATCTGAGTATTGATTTATAATTCGATGCAAACTACTTAATTCATTTGTTGTTATGGTGAAAGGACAAAGCAAATGGGGCTCCTATCAAAGTCAAAGAAGTTCAGCAGACAGTTGCAAAGAAAGTGCCAACTGATGTGGGTATTCCTGAACACCGAGTATTTCTTCTAGGTGAGAATCGGTGGGAGGAGCCTTCCAGGCTAAATAAAGGAAATGATAAGTTGGGTGGCGGAAAATCATCTGCACCAAAATGCCTCAGTTGTCGAGGGGAGGGTCGTCTATTGTGCATGGGTATGTAGATATTTCTATTTCACTTGCAAAAAGGTATCTCTTTGGTGAATAGGTCCCTAGAGTTGATGCACAATTTTTTTTCCAATCATTTGAGAATTAGTCATGACATAAGCTGGAACTTCTTTCCATATGTGCTATGATTTACTAGGCCTCAATCAATACTTGTGAGCTTTGGCTTATCCCCAACAAATCATACTAGAAGCAATACAATGCTAGTAATTCTTAAGCTTCCGAAGGAAATAAATAACTGGCAGCAAAAGCTCTTGCTTAGGCTTACATTTTATCAATCTTTCTAGCTAAACCCTAGTTCCCTTTTCACTGCAGAGTGTGATGGAACGGGAGATTCACAAGTCGAGGAACAGGTTGGTTGAAATTTCATTACTATTATTTATCTTTTTTATTTGCATGTTTTCTTTGCATCTTATATTCAGACATATGAAGCAGTTTTTGGATTGGGTGGACGGAGGAGCAAAATGCCCATATTGTGAAGGCCTTGGATACACTGACTGTGATATTTGTGAAGGGAAAGGTACTGCCTAGTTGCAGTATGGAGTATTTGGACCCTTCGCAGTTTTGCCCAACCAGGTACCGTTCTTTAGCTACTGGAGATGTCTGATGAGAGAGTTTGAGTTTAGATTGTCCTTTATATGCTTGATGCTGTTAGAAGCTGCCTTATAACTGCCCCATCCCCTACCCACTTGCACACACCACCATTGCTGTTTTATAATTATGTTGATGACACTGCTTAATACAAAGTTAGGAGCTTTACATAAATTATTGTGCTTGGCTTGCTCAATCTCTCAAGAATAGCAAACAGTATTTGCCTTACTGGAATGCTATTCAATGATGTTACTAGTTACAGACTTACAGTAATAAGAAAACTCATCCTATCAATTAAATATTATACCAATTACACTTTTGTACATCTCAGATTCTCTATGATCTAGCTTGATCACCTTTACAATTCCTGTATCAGCTGCATTCTTCAGATCCTTAAAGTCCACCCCTCTTTCCTCCCTCCCTCTTTCCCAGCAATAGTGCTGTCATTTATAACACTCTCTAGGTTCATTTGAGTGTGAAAGGATATTTCTCACCTCCTTCAGGCATTTGGTCTTTCTTGGGCAATTAAGAAATTAAATGAGTAACATTGCTGAAATATTGAATAATTAGTTTTAAAATGCCATGGCTTATCCACATTTATAGCTAGGAACAAAGTGGTTGGACTCAAGACTAATCCTGAGTCATGGCAATTAAACTTATTCAGATGTTTTTGCTCTTCAAAATGCAAGATATATTCATTATTCAAATACATAAAACTGAAGATAATTATATGTACATGTATTTACATTATTATCCTGTTTTCCTATTCATCACAAACTGGGTGGTTATTTAGTGCTGTTTTAAGTTTATCTTGTTTCGGTGGATGGAGCTGAGCTAGGCTTATTAAGGAGGCACATATATTAATAATATCATTAGCTCTTAATTTGGAGCAAGGTGAAGAGATATTGGGCTTTATATAAGTGCTGATTGCCTGACTGCCTGAGGAGACAGGAGCTGTCCATGGTCCTCCATACAGAAGATGCATAAAAAAGGTAGGAGCAAATGGTAAAGAGTGATGAAGGAATTGATGTGGGAGAAACATTTTGGGTTGGAGATAGTACATTACTATCAAGTCCACATGTATATATTTTTATTTTTGTTACATCTATTTATGACTGTACCCAACGGAATGTCAGAATAATGAAGATGTCAAGGTCCACTGAAATCAATAGTTATAGAGACCATGTTAATACTCCGTAGTTCGTACTCCACAGTAGAGCTACTACAGCAGCTAACATGTTGACCATAAGCTGTTGAAACAGACCCGCCAAAGTTGATTAGATTATCTTGAACATTTCATGCATTATGAATTTTACGATGATACTTTTCAAATGTGTTTTGTGTACATCGTATACCGTCTTATCCAGCTTTGGCTAAAAGGTTTTTTTTTAGACAAGGGGGGCTAGAATATGACACAACCATCTTGTGAACTCTTACATGATTTTGGTTCAAAAGTAAAGTGTCTAACTGTCATACCAATACCTGAGTATTGAATACGGGGCTTCACACATGGATATTTGAGGTGAAATGAAGAGTCAAGTGATGTAGCTGTAAACTAAACATAACTAAGTGGGCGCTGTAACTGGTCAGTCTTCAGATTTTTTTCTTTGGATGTCTATGCTACAAGAGCTTATCACAAGTACCATTAGAATTTTGTTGTGAATTTTAATTAAAAACCTTGACTAAGTTTGTGCTACCTATGCTTGTTAAATGTGCTGATATTGTTCTCTAAGTTTTCTTTTTCACAAAATAATCTTCACTGTAGGTCTGCATAATTCTTGTAAAATGTGCAGTTTTTGCTACTTCCAGTCTCAGTCTTGTACATATAGTCATATATCATTATATGGGCTACAATAAGGATTTTCTTCTATGGTATGTGAGTCTGTCAACTCCTAAAGTTTTTCCTGGTTCCTTTTTTTTTTTTTTTTTTTTTTTTTTTTTTTTTGGCTATCTGCGCTTGAATAACTAAAAAAACTGTCATAAAACTGTTATATCCCCAAGGAGGCAGGAAAAAATGGAGTATTTTGTGCTACCTGTGGTTTGGATACTCCTCAGGTTTATACTGCTATAACTCTGTACTGATGTACCAACCTTAATTAACTCGTCAGCAGAAACTTTATATTACAGATTTACAGGACGTTGTTGGTGATCAATTTTCAAGACCATCTCTAATTCTCTTATCATGGAAGTCCACAATGTCCTACAGGCTTCTTACTCGGGCTTATATCAGTTATATGAACTGCCTGCTTCTCTCAGAGTCTGATTCAGCCATTAAAGTATTAAATTATACTCCATATGCCGTAGCCTGATTTAACGCAGCGTCACAGCCCATGATTACCATAAGTGTTCTGGTTGGTGGAGCTAGGAGAAGAAAAAGATACTCCCACAGGAAAGATGAGCTAGAAAGCAGAACTGTTTGTGGGCGATTTCCTTTTCTTGAGTTCTGATGTCTAAATTTAATAAATCATGTAAAACCAAACTTTTATGCCTTTTACATGATAAAGATCTTAAAATAAGTATTTGTGAAGGGTTGTATTTGACATAATTAGTGTTAATTGTTGAAGGTTAAGAATCTCAGTCTTGATATTGTTCTTTTCACCTTAAAGTTGTGTGTAGGTTTTGATAAATTCACTCTATAGCTAATAGGATTTGAACATAAACTATCGGATCCAATTTCTAATATGATGCTAGAGCAATGGCAACTAGCAAAATGTTGAGCTCAAATCTTTGGATTTCTTATTGACCAATTGTCAAGGTTTGATTCATTTCTACTTTGCAATGCAATCTGTAAAGCACAAGGTGTAGATAATAACATATCCAACCAACATTAGGTGACATAAAGCTTGAGATTTTGTGGAATGTGCGCTAAACACCTTATGTGAATGTGTCACACCATTTGATGGTATCACTTCTAATTTCTGACCAAAGCATGCTTAAAGAAAACTTATTAGAGTTTTAAGCTTTTGATATGTAGTTATTTTATATTACATATACAATAATACAAGTATATCACTCAATCATCCAATTTACTCTAATTTTTTAAGGAGCGAAGATAAATAAAATTAATTTTCTTATTAAACGAGGACCTATTACACTATCTCCCTTTTAAAATTCTCTCAAATAACATTGTTTGAACATCAACTTGGACGTTGAAGGTTCTACCAAGGGACTACCATACGAAGTTACGAAAACATCAAGATATCCATCCATAAACGACCAAAAGCGAAGAGGTAGGCCCTTATGCATAAATGAAAACTTGTAATTAATTTGCGATCTAGGACATATCTTGAAACCTCATCCCATCAAGATCGTTTATGAATTATGAGGAGTTGCTAATAAGCTACGCGACGACAATCATTTAAAGGACAGCCAAAAGTGAATCAATTACACATGGAAACTGAGCAATGGAAATTTCAAGAACAAAGTTCTTAAACTAGAGTAATATTTTATGAGTACTTTTTTATTAATAATGCATTATTATTTTATTAGTCCAACAAAAGCCAATGAATTTGATTGCTTCAATTTCTCACCTTTTTTGGATAGCTAAATTATTTTATCTAAATTTTATAAAGGGTTGAAGATTCCTCTAGATTTCCTCGGTCAAATAATTCTTACAAAAAGGTGTTGTTTGTCTTAGAGTACCAACTACTCCGTATTAATAATTAATCTACTTTCCTGTCAAAAAAAAAAAAAAAAAAAAAAAATCTACTTTCTTCCTCTTTTAGATGTAGCAATTTCACCAATATTCTCATGGGTTTCCATTTAAAGGGTACATATTCAACTACAAGCATTTTTTTCCCCCTCTTTTAAGGGGGATTTGTTCGAGCAATTAATAAATAATTTGTTTGAAATATTTGGTGAAACTTAATTACTTCACAACGATAATATTTGTTTGAAATGTTGACAAATGATATATCTAAAATGATTGTTGTATACAATACATTTTACTATCTTATAATTTTAATTTTAGAAAACAAAGGGTAGAATTAGGGTCTGTTATCATTGACTGAACTCAGCTGAACTGAACTGAACCGAGCTGAACTAAACTGAACTGAACTGAATTGAGCTGGACTGAACTGAAATGAATATTTTATAAGAGAAGGAAATTAGGAGCTGAACTGAACTGAGCTGAGCTGAGCTGAGCTGAACTGAACTGAATTTCAACGTAAGAGAACAGACCCTTATTGTAGATAGAATTTGTTAAACTCGAACATTACTCAATAATTTACATGGAGTAAGTGACAACATGTCATGTGTTTATCATTAACTTGTTATAACCATTTTTTTTTTAATCTTTATTTGTGGCAAAAATTAGTACTACGTACGTACTTTGTTTATGGTATAGATTGTGGTCAAAAGGCAAAAAGTGTGTCCTTTAGCCAAACCCACAATCACTCATCAGTATGAACTTGCATTCACACATCCATATTTTAATTATGTTAGTATACATCGAAAGCATTAGTAAAACCTTGGTTCATGCATTCATTCATATATATATATATATTACTTTACTTTGTATTTGTGGACGCCCAAAAATGCATGCATTCAATAATATAATCTTACTCGTTTTCAATAATTCCTACAAATAAAAAACATGCATAAGATGGAGTAGTTATTACTGTTCCAAGAAAGCGGCAACCTAAAAATATTCAAAGATAAGGATTTCACATGATAATGCTTGCTCCCAATGAAGAATTTGGTTGATTGAAAATTTGAAAGTCCAAATCTTGTTGTGTCACTTACAAAAGTGAAGTTTTGATTATATATTTGACGTTTCATGTAGGTAAGCCGCTATTAATTCCAAAAGTGAAAGGGCAATGTTACTACCTCTTCAATAATGTGGAATAATTATGTATTACTAGTACTTCCTTCGTCCTAAAAGTTATTTATGTCGTCTTATAAACATGTAACATAATTTTAAAAATATTTTTTTATAAGTTTTATTTATAAGGTATGTAGTAAATCAAAGAGGAATAATAAGATATGTGTACACAATTTTACAAAAACAAGTACTACGTCTGTTTTTTTTTTAATTGTAATTTTGGGATATTATTTGACAAATATAAAATATTTCAAAGTTACAACTAAACCGTGGAAGTAAATTAAAAGTGTGGGTGTACTGTTTACATGGATAATGAACGGAAGCAGTAATCAGAACTTTACAAGCAAAGTGGGAGAAGAAATCGAAATGCAAAAACTACAAAAATACCCATTAATGGTACGGATAATACAACATATATGGGTCCAATTTCAAAATTTATTTTGTTCTTTATTTCTAATTTTAATTGCTCATCAAAAATCAAATAAAAATAGAGAGTAATACAGTAGTATGTATTTATGTGCAGTGGTCCATGTATTATGTAGCTATACTATTATTAATTATAGAGTTTGTTAATCCACAGGTTACAGCTAACAAGTTTACAACCAATATATGGCTTTTCTGTCTACTTCGTATATGACTAATTGTCTATTTAATAAGGATGCATGGGATATTTAATTTTTTGAAAAATAACCCGGTAGAAACATCGATATTATATTATATACAAGTATATGGTTTAATAACTAAAAACAAAAAATAAATAAATTAGAAAACTCTAAGACCAACCTCACTATCACATACACTCATTAGAAATTAAATATCCCATGCATCCTTATTAAATGTTCTTCCCTATATATTGCTTTTTGATATATCAAACGAAGTATAAAATAAATTGAGATAAGAAGTTCGAATAATATAATAAGCCAATGTTCTAGAGTTATAGCTCTTATAAGTCAATATACGAGTTGTTTCGGATGAAAACAATGGGACCTTGCCGAAGGTTCGATGAAGTGGTGAACACTGGATTCGGTCCAAGTGATGTTGGGCCGAAGGTTTCCTGCACAGCAAACACACGTAAACTAGCCTCGGGGGTGTTGCCGAGGAAGGCCCCTCCGATGCTAAAGTCAGCACAATGTGTAGAGAGAGAAAGCTATGCAAGAGAATTAATTGCTTGAGGCTTTTGTGAATTATCCCACGAATGAATAAATTGAAGGCTTATATACCTTTGCATACAAGGAGGAAGTGGGCCTTGGCCCAATTGACTTGTCTTGTGGACTGATCTTGACTTTAGCACAAATGAGAGTTGAACCTTGACCTTGGGCTTTTAATTGGATCATTTAATGACTAGGCCCAATGAGATAATTGGACCCAAATGAATGACTAGGCCCAATTAGGTAAATTGGACCCAAAAAACTTGCCCCCCAGACCCGATTTGGAAGGATGACGGGTCGGGTTTGAATCCAATAAGAAATGGAGGGAAGTAAATGATTTAATTAAATCAAAAGATTTAAATTTTTAAGCAGTTATTAATTAAATAACTGTAATTTGGATAATTAATAGGAAGTGGAGTGGATAGTGGGCGGTTAATCAAGAGAGAGAGAGTTTAACGGTTAATTAAGGAGGCATTTAAGAGAAATTTGAACTTTCCGACCTTTGGAATTCTCCTTCCTGGAATTATAAGGTCTGATTTGCATTTTTGCCTCATTTCTTCACCAACTTACACTCGAATTCTCCCATAAACCCACCTTCGCTTCGAATTTCTAGCGCACCATTCTCGAATTCGAGTTCGATACTCAAATCTGTCGCTTCCACTAATTTGACTGGCGCATTTCGGCCAATTTGAAGGTAATTTTCTTCGAGTTTTTTCGATTTTCTTGTCTTTTTTAAGGAAATTCTTCTTCTCCCTTCTTTCCTTCTTTGAATTTGGTTATGGCTCGAGAAAGGAGGCGTCAACCAGGTCGACGGGGTCAGGTTAGGGATCCCCGTGACCGCGCCGATGTTTGGAACGGGGAACGAACCGGGAAGACCCGGAAAGGGGGATTCCGACTGTTCCTTTAAACGCCGCGCCGCCTCAGCAGGACGCCGAGGCCGGCGAGGTGGAGCAACCTGAGCAGAGAGAAAGGGCTGGGCAGGCTGAAGATTTGCCCCCTGTGCTCTGGGACCTGCTTCCTGGGCATGCTGAATGGCAAGACGCCGAGGCCCAGGACGCCATGGTGAGAAATACCCCATACTCGTGGTGGGTTCGGCACGCCGAAACCTACCGGTTCGCCGAGCAAATTGAGTTGC